AACCTTGATCATATAAAATTTATATAATCAAGATTCTATTTTCTCTTTGCATCACTCAAATCATGTAATATTACATAAGTTTTTTCAAATATCTGGGTGGCCTATTATAAGTGCAAAATGTGCATACTCTTCAAAATTTTCCTCTTGATAACATGAACTCTTGGCTGCATACTAGACCCAGGGTCTTGTATGCGGTAATTTATAGTAATGATGATAAATATATAGACTTTATTTTTTGAACCTGAGGTCCTATCTTTTTACAACAAAGAAAGTATTTACAAAGGTTGCAACTAATTCTAAAAAGATACGAAATTATGACTTTATAACAAGAATTACTAATTTTAATATAATTTGATTAGATAATCAAATGCAAATACAAATTTGATTACAGGCTAATTCTATTATTTCTGAAATATCATTTTACTGAAGTTATAATACTGACAACTGACAAGACATAATTTTGATGTCTTATTTAATCAGTAGCAATTTTCCCGATAAGTTATTTATCTGCTACTACTATTTCTCTTATATTATTTACATAACAGCCTATTTTACCAACATGTTATTTTTATTTAATACTTCTTCTGACATTCTAAAACTATATTACTGAAAGCTCTTTTGCTAATGGATATTTCACTGAATTTAAATACAACAAAATAAACTTCATCACGGCAACTTTTTACAAATTAAAAACTCCTAATTATTGTAAATTTACACATCAACTACATGACACATCTAGTAAAATATACCCCAAATCTGATAGAATATTTTTGAAGAAAAGGCTGTTAGAAATAGTTCTTATCCGAGTAATGAGATTTTAGAAAAAAGACCTTGTCAGCAAAAGGGCTATCATTAAAATTTGTGTCAAGAAAATCAGGTCATCGAGTTAATATATTCTGTGAAAATTTTTAATGGTAAAATGAATTGGCAAAATATGAAAGTAGAGTCATCAGTATTACAGACTCAGAAAAATGATACTTCGTAAAATGGATTTGGAATTGAGCAACAATATGTCTAAAGCTGGGTATATAGTAATTTATATAAAACACATAGTTTTGATTTACAATTTGTTAGTAATCAACTTATACAATTTTATACTCAAAAAAACAAAAGTTTTCTTGCTAAGTCATTCTACTTTCTAGTATCAAGGGTTCCTATAACAAATTTGTTTAGAGCTTGGCTTACGTACAATTGATATGCATCGATACTATTTACTCATCGTACGTATTCACAATCTGTATGTCACATATAAGCAATAATTGTCAGCTTATGAAGTAACGTTGTGAATGGAGCACGATAATTTATTAATACAAATGTCTATAAAAGATTGATTTTCAAGAAACATCCTATTTCGGTATAAAAACAATAAATTGCTAACCTCCTTTTAAATTGCAACTGAAGCTAATTGTGTGATTATGCACATTGTCTTCCTAGTCATAATATGTGCTATTTGATATCTAAATTGATAAAAAAATAAAATAAATAAATATTGAAAAATTCTTGACACCCAAAAGAAATTAACTGAGCTTATCAATATGATTAAATTGGTTCTACAGGGACCTATGAGTTACGTTTTAAAAGTTTTTTTTGTAAACTATATTTTGTAAAAAAATATAAATTTATAACAATGTCAATAACACTTAGATAAAAAAAATATAAAAAACAACAAAACAACATACATTTATTATTCTCAACTAATGAATTATTATTAATGCTTCCAATTAACTATTCTATTAATTTATACTACAATTTATTATATATTTTTTTTTATTAGTTTTATCTATCAATGTCATTATTCTTATATATGATTTTGTCATGTGACTTACACATCAAATCATTAAAAGATGGATATTCATCGCTAAAATCTCATCTATTCAAAAATATCATAGGTAAGCAGACGCAATTCAAATTGAATCAATTTATGATTAAACAGTTCATTGTTAGAATTTTTTAGACGGCTTTGTCTCCTAATATCCTTATATATATTTTAATCTTACATCGTAGAACTCAGAATAACAACTTACATAATTAATGTAAGATCAATGTAATTTCCATATTTGTAATGCATAAAAAATATAATGAGGCGTAGCAAAATTGAATAAATAGAAGAAAAGTTTTTAAAATTTTAATTTTATTCTCAATAACTAATCGAATAAAAAATATATACCCATAAAGGTTATATAAGGTTGTTGAATTGAACGAAGAAAAGAAAAGAAAAGAAAATATAGACCAGTGTACTAAGATTTAACCAAATTTTATTTAATTTGTATTAGGATTAATATAGTTAAAACGCAACAAAATAAAAAAAAACAAGAGTAAGAAATAAACTTGCCTTTATCATTATTCTTACTATATTATTTTTATTGACTTAATTATTTAATTATTAGCTTCTATATCTTCTTTAAGACCTATCAATAATTTAGTTAAAAATCTTGAGGTACAAGCTACAAACACGATTATTATAGAAAGCCAGAGAGAAATAAGTCCAGATCATACTAACATGAAAAAGCGAAGAGAAAATAAAGAAGCTAGCTTGATTAATGGCGACAATAGTATACCATTATTTTGTAATTTTATAACATACAGTACATACAATAATAAACTTATTTAATTTAGATACGATTCAAAGTGATAATTCACGTTCTTATACGTCCAAAAGACAAAATGAACAAACTTTAAATAGTTCATCTTTGGCTAGAAATAATTCGTCAGAAGGTTTTTATAGCCAACAGTTGTTGATATCTAACAACACATTATTTTCTTCATACAGAAGCCCAAATAAATATGCTGGTTTGATTAGTGGCGGCGGCAATGGTATACTATTATTATTATTTTTTTTTTTGGTGTTAAGGTAATCTCTATGGCCTGAGGACTTTTTATTAGATAGATATATTACATATTACAGTTACAATGAGAGTACATATAGCCACACATGCACCTTTTGAGTACCTAATTTAAGTAGTCCGCCCAAAGGTTCTACACTATCTACCGTACCTGTACCCCAACTAGGGGTACCCATTTAAACCCTCTGGTTACAACTGCTAGCTACATTCTACCTAACCAAGGTGTAACTCACTATTTGATAGTAGCTTTTGTAACACCTATAGATTTCACACCCTACCTTAGGACTTACTAACCATTTTTAGATTTATCAATCCCTTGTCTTAAAACTAACTAACCATACATGGCTAATCTATCCATGAGGTAAACCTAACAGAGTAGTCCATGT